ACAGCACAATTGTAAGAAAGGATATGCACACAAGAAAAATGAGGAACAAGACTGAGGTTGCTCTCAACTTTTACATAAAGTCACACTGCCTCATTGCTTTTCTACAGTGTTTCATAATAGGTACTTGCATGTTTCATCATTTTCCTATTAAGGAAGATGCAAATAATCATACAGTACATTTTTTTGTTCCTAGCATAGTACCGTTCAGTATAACAGCCTTACTACCACATTACTATAGTATTTAAAGACCCTGGAACGTCCTTGGAAGCCTACAAAACTACGTCTTTCCTTTCTTGAGTGCTTTTCACCTATCCATCCATCCATCTTCTAATTGCTTCTTCCAATTCAGGGTCACGAGGGAGCTTTAGCCTATCCCGGCAAGCAGGTTACACCCTGGACAGAATGCAAGTCCATCACAGGGCAGACGGACACAAACACGGACAAGCACACGCTTACGTCTAGGGCCAATTTTCCCAGAAGCAAGTTAACCTACCAGTTTTGTTTTGCAATTTGGGAGGAAACCTAATGGTAACCACAGCACCACTGTGTTGCCTGCATTTTATCTATTCTATTGAATACCACATTTTGTTGTATTTCATCAAATTGCAACACAGTGAATCGAATCAAAACATACTTAACTTTCTGATGGAGCATAATATTTTTTATTAAACATTTAGTCCCCCCCCCCATGCAGCAATTACAGCTTCAAGCAGTTTGTAGTATGTTGTAAGCAGCTGTCATATCTTGTGGGTTTAATTTTTGTCCCCTCTTCCTTGCAAAACTGTCTGTTCCTAGTTACTGGCGGAGCAGTGGTGTACAGCAATCTTCAGTTCCCCCCACACATCTTCAATGGGATTTATGTCTAAACTTTGACTGGACCACTCAAGGACTTCCACCTTCTTTTTAAGTCACTTAAGGGTTACTTTGGTTTAGTGTTTGGGATTATTGTCCTGTTGAAATATTGATCCCTGTTCCAGTTTCAGATCTTTTGCAGATCTGTTTTGCTCCAGTATCTCACTATAATTTACTCCATCTATTTTGCTTTCATTGATGAACATTGCTCTTCATTTACCATACAAATAATACTTCTCACCAAGACCAAATAACTCATTTTATGTCTCATCAGACCGCAGTTCTTTCCAAACATCATTTCAGAGTTCCCTACATTCCTTTTTGCATAAACAAGATGGGAATTAATGTGAGTTTTTTTTTCAAATTTTTCCTCCTTGCCACTCCACCATACAACCCATATTTATAGAGCACCTGAGCTGTTGTTAACTCACTTTTACCCCATCTCAATAATGAGAAACTGAAGGTCTTTGAGGGTTGTTTTCGGATCCTTGACTGTTTCTCTGACCAGTGTTCTTTCTTACCTTGTTGCCGAGTTCTGGTGGATAACGTGGTTGTTGAAGATTCTGAGTAGTATTGTGTCATTCACTTCC